TTGGACGGGTTGGAGCAGTGGTACCAAACATGGAGCCCACGCCCCACAGTGGTCAATCTGATTATTAAAGGGAGCAATTCGGAAATGGACTCTTTATTAAAATGATAAGGAATGGAATTTCAATTTTTCATTATAGATATGTTTTGAAAATTTAGTTACTGTTTTAACAAATTTAATTAACATATTTCTAGTAAATTAAAACCTATTCATTACCTTTATTAAGTGAGCAATTCTTTTTTTTAATTATATTAATTATATATGTTACATAGACGGCCTCCCCCCGTCTATATAACAAAAAAGATTTGTAGTAATCCTAAGGTAGGGCGCTAAAACATTGGGTTAGAGAAATGGGAGCATCACTGGGAGAAGTCTGTAGAATTACAAGGAGACTATGTGGAAAAATTTATTAAATAATTCAAAATAATCATTGTTAGGTCGGAAACCTTCTACCGCGTAGAGTGGGTAGCTTGGTGATGTAGATTATTCATTTGAAATAACAGTTATTTATTTTAATCATACCATGTAGCCCATAATAATAATAATCTCTCACACAACGGACAATTCACACAGCGTTACATATACATAGTTTTTTTTTTAAATAAATACATATTATCGGTCGTAAAGCGGTGTGCTAGACCGTTAGACCACTGAAGTCGTCATATTACAAATACCTTGTAAACGAACGTAATGAAATAATGATATAAATATATATTGTTTCTGTGGTCATGACATTGACGGCGGCAATCTGCTACGGTAGCTCCGACATTCAGCCCCATCGGCCAGATGTCCTCCTTCATGAAGGTGAGCATGTTGGTGGGGACCCGGGCCACAAACTCCTTGAAACTCATGTTGTGACTCGACTCCAGCTGTGTCGCCCTCAATATTATGACTGACAAAATATACTATACATATATAGAAATAGAAATAGGAATAATCTTTATTCAAATAAACTTAATATGAGCACTTTTGAATACTCAAGTTTTTTGATTCTACCGCTTATTCGGAATGCAGATTCATCACAAGAAAAATAAACAAGAAAATTGTGTGTTGCTCTTTTAAATAAATATTGATTTACTTATATTTAATTAACAACGAGGATTAGGCATGCGACAATCAACATAGAAACCGCTACGCACTTAATCTCTGTTCAATCGGATAACATTGTAAGCGCTATGAATTTTAAGTTAGATATTTTCTACAAATACATTATTATCATTCAAAAATTCTTCAATATTATAATATATACAAATTCAAATTCAAAAATCATTTATTCATGTAGGACATTTTAGCCGCTTATGAACGTCAAATTTTTACATTATAATTTTATTTTTTCCCTACCGTCCAGTTCGGTATATAGATCCAATTGAGAAGAACTGGCAAGAAACTCAATTGAGTTACTTTTTTTTTAAAGCCAGTTTATTTACAATGTATTTTTATATAGGTGTCTATGTCTAACATTAAATGAAAATTCAGTGCATGAACAACTATTGCCATGCACACTCATCATTCAAGTAATCGTTTAGTGAGTAATAGGCTTTGCTCAGTAAATATGATTTAACAGATGTTTTGAATTTATTTAAGGGTAATTCCAACATATCCTTTGGTATCTTATTGTAAATTTTTATACCTATTCCCATAGACCTATTGACTTTTTCTAAACGATGCTTGGGGACAGCAAGATTGTCATAAAATCTAGTATTAATATTATGAATATTGCTGTTTTTTGGAAATAAGTCAAGATTTTTACGAACATATAGGATATTTGAATATATAAATTGAGAAGCATATAGAATATTTGCCTCTTTGAATTTCTCTCTTAATGAGTCACGACTCTTCATACAGTAGATCGCTCGAATGGCACGTTTTTGTAATATGAATATATTTTTAATATCTGCCGCTTTTCCCCATAGTAATATTCCATAAGAGAGTAAACTATGATAATAACTAAAATAGACTAATCTAGCAGTATCAGTATCAGTGTACTGTCTAACCTTACGCACGGCAAAAGCTGCTGAACTTAGTTTCGCTGCAAGGTTTTGAATTTGAATTTAATAAGCCTGTTTTACTAAGTCATTTTATATTTGATTCTTTATAGAATAGAATAGAATAGAAAATCATTTATTCAAATAAACTTAATTTAAGCACTTTTGAATAGTCATAACAATTTGTTTTTTATCTACCACTCGTTCGGAAAGCTCTCTCATCACAAGAAGAACGAGCAAGAAACTTGTGTGTTGCTCTTTTAAATAATCCTTGTAAGTTTACATTTACAAGTCGAAACGTGTGAATACAAACTACCAACCAGCACTATTTTTTTGGGTCAAATATAAATATACAATAAGATTAAATCAGTCGTAGTGATATGACTCTACATGCCTGTAATTTTATTGCCCAATCTCACCCTTCAAGCTAAACCCAGATTATAAAGACAGCTCCTTTTCAGCTCAAATAAGTAAGACGGTACCTACGCAAACAGCTTTTAGAAGTCTATAAATAATCCTGGATAATTAACACAGTGCTAACTAGTCCCACGGTAACCAGAGCTTGTGTTATGGGTACTAAACAACTGATACAAACGCTTCATTTTTTTGTAAATACATACATAATATGCATAGAAAATTGATACAATTATGCTCATTTGCACCGTGCGAGGAATCGAACCCGTGACCATCGAAAGTAAAGCGGTGTACTAAACCGCTAAACCATCGTGGTCGTCAATCTATCATGTCTACTCCACTAAAACTCTGATTATTATTCAGAATATTATAAATTTTTGCACTTGCATCGTATTGTCTGAGGGCGGTACAAATTCTCGTTATCCTGAGACACCATTGTACTCGTATACTACCTTCGATCGACAATTGAAAATGGTAGTTATTACACTAAAATAGAGTTGACAATTTCTAAATCTAGAATATCTATTTGCTACGAAGTGAGATGCCAATATGCACATCGGTTTGTATGAGAGAGATATAAAATCTCATAATACAGCCACCATCATGTCTCTCCCTTGTAAAATGTCTGTAGACGCACAATTATAAAAATAACTTGTAATACTTGATTCTCAATAATGGCATTTATAATATCATAATATAAGTACTGTTTTCAATTATCTATATCTATATTAGTATATATAAAAATGAATTGCATTTCGTTAGTCTCGCTAAAACTCGAGAACGACTAAACGAATTTGATTAATTTTAGTCTTGAAATATTCATCGAAGTCCAGGGAAAGTTTAAACGGTGTAAAATAGTAAAATCATATATATGATAATTTTATTTTCCCATACAAACTGCTGATGCCTGTCAAACAGGGTGGGTTCAGAAAGATCTTGAAAGAAGCTTATCATCAATATTAAAAGAGGTTGTATTGCTAGTTTGTGAGGTTGTAGGGACTTTCTCTGGATCTACTTCTAACTTTTAGTGTTAGATAGCCCATTTATCGAGGAAGCTTCATCACGTTAGGACGAATAGGAGTGGAGCTGCAATGTAAAATGTTCCAAAAACGGTGAAAGTCCTGCGTAGACGAAGTCGTGTAGATCAAGCAGTTTTAATTAGATTTGTGAAGAAAGGTGCACATTTATATTTTAAGATCTTGAATGTCCAACCTTTTAGCTTTATTAATTTAAACTTGCTACTAAGGAAGATCTGTGGTCTTAAAAAGAATATCAACATGAACACTAACCTTAAGTTATTATGTATTGTATATGTAAAAAATATATACTAAGTTATATACTTATTATATATTTAAATATGTAATAAGTCATATACTTATTATATAAGTAATAAGTTGGTTATGCTCTTTTCTTATAATGAGCCTGGAATAGATCGCTTACGACGTCACCCTGTTGTGCTTAAGATTGTAAATTTTAATTTTACAATCTAAGAGATCATTTTTGGTTGCTGATGAAAAAACTCAAAAAATACTTAACTGTTTGAAAATATTTTTACCTGCATAAATTTAAATTATCAGAGATTCATTTTTGTTACTTAAAAGTAACAAATGACAAAAAAAGTTTGGTTTTAAAAGGAAATAGATAAACACACAATAATTACATCTATGCGATATGACTGCATATCGCTAGTTACATAGTTTTTCATCAGACATTTATCATCAGATGGGCTGTATGCTTATTTGTCACCTTCGTAGTATAAAAAAACAAACAATAATAAGTGTTTGTCATCACAGATCATCGCTCTCTTTAGAGAGTAACGTTATTACGCCTCCGATTGATCCCCTAGCCAACTCTATCAGGGATCGAAATTACAACGGCCTAAGCCGAGCTACGACTCGTATCCCCAGAATAAACCCCAGTGACTTCTGGCGGCGACCTAAGACTGTTCGTCAGGCAGGAGTTGGTTTTCAGGCGCTCCATAAACTCCTTCCGCGTGATTGGTATCTTATCGTTCCGTGAAACTGTAAGCGCCATTTGCGGTCAACAGCATTAAAATATTAGCAAAGCATAGAATTAAAACTAATAATAATAATCTCAGGACAATTCACACAGAGCCATCTAGACGCAAGATATGCTAGCTAAAGCTTGTGTTATGGCTACTGGATAACTTGTATTAATACTTAGAGATTTTTTGGTAAATAAATACATATGTACATAGAAAACCCCCAGACCGATACAAACAATCAAACTCATGAATACAGATATTTGTGTCGTGCGAGAAATTAAACCCGCGAATATCGGAAGTAAGGCGGTGTGCGAAAGCGCTAGACTACCGAGGCCGTGAAAATTATTATAAGTATAGTTATTAACTTACTCTCTATTGATTAGAAACCACGTAATATCAGGAAGCATTGTGATTTATCACTTTTACCTAAAAACGTTAGAGTTTCAAGGATACACGATGCAAATTTTGATGATGTTGCATCAGAAAAACAATGCAATGCGTGTGCGCGTTCGATGCACATATCCGGCTGTACGCAGGATACCAGCTTAGTATAAATTGGGTACGAATTACAAAAATTGGTACACTTCGTTTGAGTAACTCAACAACAATGAACACCTACGTTACAGTAAGTTACCATTGTTTTTATTATATCGTATTATTATTTGTAATTTGTTATATTTGAAGAATTGTTTTGGTCATCCAAATTATAGCATGGATGCTAAGATTGGTTTGACATAATGATAACATTCTATTCCCGGTTTAGATGCAAGACTTAATAAATTGAAAATATTTCTCTTTTCTATAACATTGTTAATCAATTAAAATATCATTATATAAAAATATTTATCAATAGTATTATTTTTGTTCTTCGTGTCTAAAACTGTGCTAAATTTAAAATTGATAACAAGAATAGTTTCTGAGATTAGGACAATATCAATAATAAAGATAAGGACTTCAAATCAAATCAAAATAAATCAAAATCATTTATTTATATAAAACATTTTGACCGCTTATGAACGTAAAATTTTTTTGTTTTAATATTTTGTTCCTACCGTCTAGTTCACTACACACATTAAATTGAGAAGAACTGGCAAGAAACTCAACAGATTTTTTTAAAGCCAGTTTATTTACACTTTGTAAGTGTCTATGTCTAACATTCTAACAAATGAAAACCCCATGCATGAACAACTATTGTCATGCAATTTTTAACTACAGACTAATTTCAGAGTGGCTAATAAGAAACTCGATTGTTGTTTTTTTTAAATCAATCTGTAAATATAATACCTACTGACATATACAATAAACGATATCGAACCTACAGTATAATAAACAATATTCAATAAAAAAGGCGAAAAACATTTATCGGAGTTCGGAAACCCTGTGAATTCTCGAATTTCCGTTAACATCAAAGTACGAATTCCATTTGCTGTTACAAAGGACTTCATTGGCTACGGACGAGTAATTCAACTCGCATCCAACTAATTGGACCTTGGTAACAATGCACTCTGTTTCATTAACGCTCCTATGAAATATGACGTTGGAAATGGTACAATGCAATACTGATTTTCAATTTTCTTTTGTGTTCGCAGTTAGCCTGCCTTTTGGCCGTTGTTGGCTTCAGCCAATGCAACCCCGTCGCTCCTATTGGATTGGGCTATGGCGGAATTGGTACGTAATTAACTATAACATTTGCGTATACTGTGGTAGAGTCCAGCGCTAATAGATTTTTTACATAATTTTCATGACAATCTGACGGTTATCTGAGAATAAGTTATTATTTTTTTTATGTATGATAATGGCAAATATGCTGACAGCCTACCAGTTAATATGTGGTTGTTTTCTTAATATATGGTAATCGAGTAGTGCCCCTGCCTGCACTAGCGGTTTACTCTGGCGGGGCACCAGTGGAGGACAAATTTTGAATATTTTTTATGCATAAAATCAATAAATAAAAACATGTATTTGATACACACATGCATAGAAGTACAGTCTTAGTCAATACCTTAATAATGTTCAAACTTATAATTTTATTTAACTATAATCGATTTAAGCCGTAACTAAAGTTATAGAGTGAACATGCCAAATGTTTGCTATTAAGTGCATTTTTATTATATACATTTTAACAGATTTAAAATAATAGTTTATCTAAAATACATTTTAGTTCTCAAATCATGGTTTACAAAATGATTTGAAGTGATAAACAACTCTTGATACAACATATTTTAGTACTATTTATCCTGTTGTATTTTATATCTTATCCGTTTCAATTCCAGGCCTGTCATCGCCAATCATCGGCGCCCCAATCCTGGCCCCGGCCGCGATCTCCACCGCTAGCCTTGTCAAAGCCGCACCAATCCCCGTCATCAGGACCGTCGCTGCCCCAGTCATCACCGCACCAGTAGTCAGGACAGTAGCCACCGCACCCATTGGACTCGGTCTTGGTACCCTCGGTCTCGGTAGCTACGGCCTGGGCCTGAACAGCGGACTCGGATGGGGCTCCGGTCTTGGACTCGGATTGGGAGGCAAAGTTATTGGTTAATTGACGTCAAACGAAGTGCAGATATGGCATTCAAAATTCTATATATATTAATTGGCTGATATATATTAAAGCATTCATTATATTTTTTGTTTTTATATAATAGATATAAGTATAAATGTTGGTACCTCAACACATGACACTACATTCGCACTAAGCATGTGATTTTATGAAAACATAATATGTTTTGATATTTCTACAAAAATATTTTTTATGGATATTCCACAAAACACATGTATACTAAATAAGCAAGCCAGTAATCACTAAGGTTTCACTAAAATATTTTGAGTAACTAATTAAAAAACATGCATTAATGTCGTAACTTTAAAGTAAAAAAAATCCAAAATATTTTTTGCTATCTACATTTAAAATAATAAATCTTTTGAGTAGGATAATAAAAACATACCACTTATCACAGCAACCTGTCACAGTAATAAATTGTAGCCTAACTACCATATTACATAAACTATACTTGAGATTTCCATTAGATTAACATAAGGAATATGCATGTTGATATAAAAGTAAGACTTCCAATCAAAACAAATGAAAGGAGCCAAATTTGTTTCTATTGGAAGTCTTACAATTGTCTCTCATTTTTATACACGATTTTCTTTACTTTCATTTTCATATACTCTATATCATCATCCCTTTCTACTTCATACACATTTTTTGGTAACTAATTAATGTCGCCCATGAGCACTCAAAACAATCATCTATTGTTTTTTTACAGGCGAGTTGCCTCCCCTTTAAATAAGTGAAGGGATGGGACGAGGAAGATGGGCATACATATTAATGGACATATACACCTAAAAATGACATCAAACACTAGTGACATGAAATTATTTCATAAGTAGATCTATTTCACACATATTTTTCGGTTGATTGCCGCAAAGCGCGCATGCGTGAATCGTAATTTCGAAATGATACGTCACATATATAGCTCACTTATTATAAACTGGCTTAACTTAAAAATTACAAATTTTGGAAAGTCCACTTTATCACAGTGGTATTAAAGTGTAATTTCAAAAATTTAAGATTTCTTAATTACACCTGTATTGTACTAGATATGCGATATGTATATTGATCAACCAACCACACTATCGACCCACACACTGTATAATTTATTGAACAGGTTAATACATGAAGTTGAAAAAGGTCGATTTTTTATTTCACTTTTTTCAATAATTCTGTATTTATATATACATCACATTAAAATTGATAACTATACAGTTTTTAGAGCGAATCAAATGACATCGTTTATAGTATAGTTAAGCTATACAGGGTTGTTAATATAGTATAGTTGAGTTTCATTGACAATTAATATATGCCGGCCTCGGTGGTTTAACGGTTTAGCACACCGCGCACCGCTTTATTTCCGATGGTCGCGGGTTCGATTTCTCGCATGCAAACATTTGCATCTATGTATTTATATCAGTTGTCTAGTACTCATAACACAAGCAATTAAACAAAATAATATAAATGCATCTAGTAGTGCATTATTCGCCATTACTATAAATCCACATTCCTCCCAAATATATATATTATAGCGGTATAATAACCGATCGTCAGAGAAGCCATTTTTAATATTATGCACCCAGTTGAAATCTTCGCAAATACGATCCGGGGAAGCGTAGCGTTAATTGAAAAAGCAATTACGCTGAAGTATCAGCTATCCAGCGAGTTCTGATCATATTATGACTAGGTACCAATCGTTCTAGTTCTTAATGAGAAATTCTAAAAGTTACAAACGCGTTTCATCGCGAGAATTTTAATGAAAATGCAAAGTTGCTATAGAATGCCATTCAGGCAGAACAACCTTTAGAATTGGCTCTCGTCGTATTTTTACGCATCAGACTGTTGTTAATTGAAATAAAAACTCTATGCTTGCGGCAAAATCGATGGCAGGATTCAAATTCCATTTGTTTGAGTGGATTCATTTGTTTGAGAGCCGGCTAATTGAAATTGCGTACATGTAATTGATAGGCATTTCATATTTAGATATTATGATTAAATGTTTAATAAATACCTTTATGAAACAGTGACCCAACTCGCACTGATGCATACAAATCTTAGAATTTTTCTATATATATTTTATATATTTTACATATAAACCTTCCTCTTGAATTACTCTATCTTTTGCTAAAAACTACATTAAATAGCGTTGTGTAATTTAAACGATATAAGCGAACAGATCAGTCTATGTTTTTATGGTATGTAAAGATGTGAAAAATAAAGAATGACTTTCGAAGAAGTTGGTATGTACCATACCAACGCACCTACTGCACTTTCAAATCAAAAAACATAAAACAATTTCAGCTGAAGTGAGCGTGGATTAAAAACACAAATGAGGAAGCATGTTCGCATGGAAGACAACAATGACGAATTTCCATACAAACTTTTATACCCTATTCTATTTACAATCTTTGTATTATAATATTTATTAATATTTAACAGTCTAAAAATATCTTTCAAGCTTTTAGCTTTAAAAATGACGAACCTTCTATACAACCTTTCATCTTAAGTTTCAACCCCTTTCAATACTTTTTCGGTAATAAAAAATGTCCTTTCTCATAGTCAGGCTTCAGTAGTTGTTCGTGAAAGCGCGACAGACAGAGTTACTTTCGCATTTATAACATTAGTAACGATTATTAAAAACTGTACTTTCACTATTTTTATTTTGCACACCAATTGTCGTAAAGTTTCATTCACCATTCACCAACCTACTGAAGTTTCATTGAGATATCGAAACGTCAAAAAACAATAGGTTTTTTTATAGAACAATAAAAAACCTATTCTTTTTTCTTTTGATTCCGATGTTAAAATTCGTCTATCGAATTACTAAAGCACTTTTAACTCTCTGTTCTGCACTCCCTTTGGCTACGGTTCGTACTAAAGTGCTCGAGTGGTCGGAAACTCATGGAGTGAACTGATACCCTCGAAATTGACTGCTCAACTGAACCGAATAATTCAATTAGGCTCGATGTTTTCTATGATTCCTCATTCCAATGCTTGAGTCAATGGCATTTAATGATTTCAACTGCTTATTCTTCAACTTCAAAACAACGGGAATTCTCTATTGTAACATTTTATGTAACTTTAATAATAATATCCGCAGGTCTTGGTGGTCTAGCGGTTTAGCACACCGCTTCACGTCCGATGGTCGCGGGTTCGATTCCTCGCACGGTGCAAACATTCCTGAGTATGATTTTTTGTATTCGTCTGAGTGTTTTCTATGTATATATTTACAAAAAAATCTAAGTATTTATATCAGATACCTAGTACCCATAACGTAAGCTCTCCTTGCCGTGGGACTAGATGGCGCTGTGTTAATTGTCCAGGGATATTTATTTATTATAAATTCACACAGCGTTATCTAATCACAAGTTATAAGCAGAGCTTAGCATGTACTAGACAACTGATACAACATATAGAAATACTTAAACTATATATATAGGTACTTTTTTTGTTAATTTCTCAAGAGACTACAGCCTAGGGTTTTCATGCAGGGTATATAAGGTTTCTAAAGTGCCACACGCACGTGACATTCCTGGTGTTTCAGACGTTCATAGGCTACGGTAACTGTTTACCATCAGATGCGTCTATGCCTGTTTACCACCATTGTAGGGTTAAAAACAATGGCGGACAATTAACCAAGGAGTAAATACCTAATTACAGATTTGTCAATAAATTTACTAAAAAAATTTAACGTGTCTGTGTATAAAATATCTGAACAATGTCGAAATAAAATTGAAACAAAATTATAATACCAGCATTAAAGATACACGAGAGCCCTCCGACAGATCCCCCGACCAATTCAAACGGGGATCGAAATTACGACGGCCTGAGCCGAGGTTCGAATCCCTAGCGGTGCCCTCAGACTAAAGTCGTATCCGTCAGGCGGGAGTTGGCCTTCAGCCGCTCCATACGTCCTTCCGCGGGTTTGGAGTACCATCTGCACTTGCACTCTATCCAGTGAAGCTGTCAAAAGCCAGCTGTGAAAAGGCTAGCTGCAGCCAACAGCAGAGAGCAACAACATAGAGTTTTTTTTATATAACACAGGGGACAAACTAGCAAGCCGCTCACCTGATGGTAAGTGATTACCGCCGCCCATGAGCACCCGCAACACCAGGGGAATTGCAAGTACGTTGTCGGCCTTTGATTCGATCGAGACGTGGGCTGTGCTACAGTCTCTCCAGCGGTGCCAAATTGACTATCGATATATCGAAGCGTTGAAATGTTTGTATGAAAACGCTACTATGTCAGTTCGCCTCCACGACCAGAATTCGAAGCCTATCCAACTGCAGCGAGGTGTCAGACAAGGCGATGTCATATCGCCAAAGCTGTTTACCACTGCGTTGGAAGATGTCTTCAAGCTTCTGGACTGGAGCGGGCTGGGCATCAACATTAACGGCGAGTACATCAATCACCTTCGATTTGCCGACGATATCGTGGTCATGGCTGAGACCCTGGAAGACCTTAGCAAAATGCTCGAAGACCTCAGATCCAGCTAGGTAGATCCAATTTCGAGAAAGAGGTCAATCGTCGAATCCAACTCCGATGGGCAGCGTTCGAGAAGCTCCGATATATCTTTTCGTCCAAATTTCCGCAGTGTCTCAAGACGAAGGTTTATGACCAATGTGTGTTGCCAGTGATGACTTACGGAACAGAGACGTGGTCGCTAACTATGGGCTCCATTAACAAGCTCAGAGTCACTCAGAGGGCAATGGAGAGGGCTATGCTTGGATGGCTTGGAGGGCTATGCTGCATGATCGAATCAGAAATGAGGAGATCCGCAGAAGAAACAGAGTGACCGACATAGCCCGAAGAATTGCGACTCTGAAGTGGCAATGGGCAGGGCACATAGCTCGTAGGACAGATGGCCGTTGGGGCAGTAAAGTCCTCGAGTGGCGACCACGAACCGGAAGACGCAGCGTGGCCTCCAGCAAGGTGGACCGACGATCTGGTCAAGATCGCTGGAAGGCATTGGATACGAGCAGAGCAGGACCGATCGTCGTGGAGATCTTTGGGGGAGGCCTATGTCCAGCAGTGGACG